TACTAATGCTTTAAAGGAGGACTGGAGCACAATACCACCACCTTACTACCAGAAATTAGTAGACAGTCTTCCAAGATACATTGAAGCAGTTATTAAGGCCAAAGGCAGGCCAATACGCTAATAATTTCTTGGAATAAAGATATGTTTTATTCATAACTACTCGTGTCCCTTGACTTTTGAAAGGATAGTGTATAACTAATATCATTAAAGTTCACATTTGATTTTTTATTAGTCAGAAACCTAGAATAAGGTGTAAAGATAATTGGTTTGCACTAAATAAAGCTGCTTATGAATTATATGCATCAAATCTGTTCCTTAATCTAGTTTAAACATCAAAATTATATCAACATTATGTTTTGTATGGATTCATCCTTCTTCTCTTGGTTTTCAACTGAGTTTCAGAAGTCAGAGTCCTGAAAAAAAAGTCTCAAAAAAGAAAAGTAGGCAGGAGAAGCCATACAAACATGGTCAGCAGACATTAGAAGTTATGTAGTTGAAATAGTTTGTGTGCAACCTAATCTGTGGTCCCCTGTTCTGATCTGAGACATCCTCATGGAATGCAAGACCCCTTTACCAGTTGTAAACCAAAAATTATAGGTTTTAATAAAAATTAATTTATATATATAACATAATTCAGGGCAGGGTGAAGTGGGTGGCTTCAGGTTAACCCCCTGGAGGGGATGCAGTTTATTCACCACTCTTTGAAGGTGCTTAATATGATATAGAGGACAGAGAATTTTTTTGTAACTTAAGCAACAAATAAGATGCTAATCTGACTTGGTAGAGTTTGCATTTGATTCATTATAAAGCTATCTTACATGAGTACGCTGTTCGATTATCTCTACATTTCTTCTCTATGATTATCAAATTTGTAAGGAACTGTTGGTATGGACAATAACAACCAAACCTGCTTTTATGTACACTATGCCATAATTGCAGTTTTAATGGAGTGGTAGAAAGATACATAGATTGGTCCTAGTATTTGGATCCTTATCTGTTTGTATTTAATAAATATAGACCACTCACTACTTAAAATTATAATCAATTTAAGTTTCTGTAAATCCCCAGAAGACTTTTTTTTTTTCTCCAAGAAAAATAACTTTTTTTATGTAGTAATTGAAATGACCGGCTAACTTTATATGAAAATAAATTATCTCTAAGAAATTAGTCCCCCTCAATGGCTCAGCGGTTTGTCTGAAGACTTGCAATGTGAAAATCTGGGTTTTGATACCTGTGGTGGGCACAGCACAGATAGCCCATTCTAGAACTTTGTGCTTAACACAAACAAACCAAGAAATTATTTTCCTTAATAATGCTGAGGTTACAGATCTTCACCTGCACACCACTGGGGACCTAAAAAAAAGTTTCTTAACTTTTAATCCAATTAGTGATCTGTTCAAAAATTTTCTTAAATTAGGCCCCGTTTGAAATGTTTAATGAATCTTTAACTTAAGGTGATGAAATCATTGGAGGAACACGTAGAACTAATTTTGATTTTTAACTGACACTAGACTAAAGAGATCGTTGTGCAACACAAGGAACTACAATCTAAAGCTTCGATGCTGCAGTGTCAAATTACCTCTCTAGAGACAGAGCATGACTTTCTTCTTACCAATAAACAAGCTAATGAAAAGGTGTACACACCTACACAGCTCAGAGGAATAGTGAAGGTAGGCTACAGAAATCTGCTTTGAATTTTGACTGCTAGTATGTAAGAAATCTGTTTGTAATGGTTATTCTCATTTGTAAGAAATCTGTTTGTAATGGTTAATCACACACAAGCATTTTCAGAAACAATGCGATGGATGCTGTTGGCACTGAACACAGCTCCCATTCTAGGACAAAAGGCCTTTTTTTAGTCCCTTAGCATGATTTAACATGATCTTGGCATAAACCGAATAATATAAACCTTAGTCAATTTAACCAGTTAATAATTCATTCTTGATTAAACCTCAGTCAATTTAACCAGTTAATAATTCATTCTTGATTAAACTTCAGTCAATTTAAACTATTAATAATTCATTCTTGATGAAACTTCAGTCAATTTAAACTATTAATAATTCATTCTTGATTAAACTTCAGTCAAGTTAAACTATTAATATTTCATTCTTGATTAAACTTCAGTCAAGTTAAACTATTAATATTTCATTCTTGATTAAACTTCAGTCAAGTTAAACTATTAATATTTCATTCTTGATTAAACTTCAGTCAATTAAACTATTAATATTTCATTCTTGATTAAACTTCAGTCAATTTAAACTATTAATATTTCATTCTTGATTAAACTTCAGTCAAGTTAAACTATTAATATTTCACTCTTGATTAAACTTCAGTCAAGTTAAACTATTAATATTTCATTCTTGATTAAACTTCAATCAAATGATGATGACAAAACTTTGTCGAAACGTTGTACATTTGCTGTTATGTTAAACTTATATTAAAGTTTTTCTTCATTACCCATTCAAGCTGTCTCCAGCCATTATTCAATCAAATTAAACTATTAGTGATTCATTCTTGATTAAACTTCAGTTAAGTTAAACTATTAGTGATTCATTCTTTAAGCCTCAGTCAGTTTCACCTGTTGTTTGGTAGTTTTGTTAAAAAAGCAGTTTGAAGTATGTGTGGGTTTGTTTGTTTTTGTCTCAATACTTTTGCCTTCAGAATCAAAACAATATACTGCAAATTCTTTAAAACTACATTCTGTGTTTCAACTTCAGTTAAACATAGAAGCAGAATATTTGGGTAGGATTTAAATTTACTTAATTCATGAAGCCATCAATAATAGTATGGTTTCAAGAGTTTAAAAGTACTTGTACTTATTAAGAAATGCACCTAATATGTTTTTTATGAACATTTAGTAATCTAAAACTAAACACGTAGATTAGTAGCTTGAAAGATAAATAAATTAATATGTTTTATTATCTAGATAGTTAATTCATGTTTGCACACAAACATTTTAAGGTTTTTAGTTTCCATAATATTTTGTTGAACTGTCCACATGACTAGCCCCACTGCTTAGTTCCGAAAGAATATAATTCTTTCGATCATGAGTTACGCTGATGCAAGTGCTTGGTTCTCGTTGTCTTAAGTGTATAACTATCCTTTTTTGGTTTTGAGTACAAAGTTATTAAGTTTGATAATAGACTACTGCATACACTGTAAACCTTCGTTATTTTAAAACTATAAATCTGAACTCCCATTTCTGCTATTATAAGATAAAAGTCAGTAGTTGGGAATGTAACATTAAAGAGAGATTATCTAAGTATAATTTTATTATCTTGTTTAATAAGAAAATAACCCCCATACTTTCATACCATGTCATATATCAGTTTAACTATTAATATGCTTGAAAGTCATGCTAAGCCTGATTTTATCAATATTTTACATGGTATTTCAGAAAGTGGAAGATCCTCCAGTGATGCAAGACCACATTCTGCAAGAGATCTCCTCCACTTTGACTCAACGTAAGGCTCTCCACTGCAAGGTACAGGAGTTGGAGGATGAGGTTTATTCACTTGGAAAAGCAGCTGTTACTAAACAGAACCTTCATTGCTGCAAAGATGGAAATGAGCAACTTCCAAGCTATGGCATTCCAGGGAACATAATCGGCCCTGCTGCGGGAAGGAAAGAAGAATTCCCTCTTCTGAGATTGGAAAAGAAGGAGTCTGAAAATTTGGTGTCTCTTCAATTTTCAACCCCTTCCGTCATCATTTCTCGGGACTCTGTGTTTTCTGGAAGAAATATGGCAAAAGATGGCTCTGTTTCTTTTCCAACTTTCAAAGAACAGGAAATTAAGAAAAAATGACACAGTCCAACTCTGACTGCCATTTATCTCATAATTTTGCAATTTCATCTCTGAACTGCCAAAGTGTAATAAAGTCTACACTTTCTTCTTCAACTTGCACATATCCCAGCAACAAGAATGTTTTCCCAGAAGACCCTTTAGCAACCATGCCATACTCGCCAATAAGCCCAAGCAGAAGCCCAATTCCCCAATGCAACATTTTAGACAGTCAGTATGACCTTGTATCACCCTCACCATCATCTCTATCTCAGTCTGATACACCAACCGATGAACAGGAAGGAGTAGACACTGCCATATTTAATACATCACTAACCTGCTCATCACCTTTTGGGCTTTCAGAAGCTCAAAACAGCCAGAAGACTCCTGTGGAAATTTCACCTCCCCCATTGCTTTGTAGACAACCACAGTTAACTTGTACTTTAAAACTAGAGGAATCTAAAGCTGAGAAACAAAACCATCATCAGAATTTTAGTTCTAAACCTCGAAAACATGGTTCAAGCACTGATAGGTCTTTCCAGCAAGATGCATGTGAGAAATCTCCAAGCTCGAAAGTTTTGAATGGTCTAGTGCTGAACTTGGGAAGTCTCCTGGCTTCCAAGAGTCCTAAAGGAAGTCCCAAGCATGAGGAGATGAAGCTTAAAAGACAGAAAAGAAAACAAAATTCCTCCTTCAGTTTCTGTGAAAGTAGTCTACCAAAAAAGCATTGTTATTCACCTCTCAGTAGTGCACCTGACTCTGGGTTTGAGAGTCTAGGATCTGTGTCCCAGAGTAGTGGACCTCCTAGTGCTGGCAGCCTTTCAGCAGCAGATGCATCTCCTGGGGAAAATGGAATCTCTTCAACAGTGGGAGGAGTCTCACCAACCAGTGTTGTGGAACACCTAGAAAATTTAACAAGGTCTGAAGGTGGGTTATAATTTTATGAATTTTAAAAGTTTTAAGACGTGTGTGTGTGTCTTTTATAAATGTCAGTTTTTAGTGATGTTGGAGGAATATGTATATTTTTCACATTGTTTTGTTTTGGATCTGGGAAAGTTATTGCAAATATGTAACAAGCAGTATTTTTGTATAATATAAACAATTGTTTTCTAAAAATTATCAACTATTATATTTACTGAGTCATTCTATTAACATATATTTCTGCACTGTATTTATATACTGTATTTTCATGAAGAATTCTTAGAAATCGTGTATTTTACTTTTTTCATTCTGTAAACAGATTCATATAGACCTAGGCCTGTCTGTTGTAGACAATAGCTAATTGTTATGCACTCAAAATTTGATGATGTTTGTTGTTGTTTTTTTTACTGTACTATAATTTTGAACTTAAATTCTTGTTTCATCAGCCATTTTGAGGTATTTTGTTTTCATTAGATATAAAATTGTGGTAATAATTAGTATCTTCTGTTACATGGGTGATGCGTTATAGCTGTATACACTGTTATTACAGCCAAACTGGATCTGCTTGCCACAGAAGATGGAAGTGGTAAACATACAGAGCAGACACGAGGAAGACACTGGCAAGCCAAAATTAACAGTAGGTTCGATAAACTGCTGGCTCTAGCATCAAATCCTAGTGATAGTCAGCAAAAAGAGTCATTGAAGTCAGAAAAACGTGGCAATGTCTACCATAGTTCTCGAAAGAATACCAGTAAAGGGACCACATCTCATCAAGAACCTAAGAAGTGGGTGGTGGACAGCATCAAACATGGTGATCACAAGTCCAGCTCTCAAGACAACTCTGTGTCCATCACCTTTAAAGCTGTGAGTCCTTCAACCAGAATTACAAGCTTGGGCCACCGGACTCGAGATCACCATCATCACCACCGAGGTTCTTCACCCACTAGATTGAGACACAGAAAGACTAGTTCTCCACATCTGCCAAGAAAAGGCCCAAGGACTCCCCCATACACACCTCCTCGATCACCATCAGCATCTCCTGATCATCTCACGATGTCTCGCACCCCTGTTTCTCCGTATCACTGCCATAGCCCAATCAGCAGTGTTGACAGCCCATGTAGTAGAAGAAGTCGTAGCAGATCGGTAAGCCCACCTTGTTATGGTCATGAACCAGGACTTCACTTTTCCCATGCTTACTCTGAATCTCGATCACGATCTGGTTCTGACAGTAGTATGGATTCAACAACTAGCCTTGGAAATGGAGGGTGCTCCAAGTCGCAAAGGCATCATAAACATTATAGAAGTTCTGAAAAATCACACAGCAAGAAGAAATCTGAGAGGTGTCAGAGAGGAAGCACTGTAACTGTCTCATCAAGGAAGGATAATAAAACAAATGGTACAGGTGTTGGAATAGAGAATTCTTTGTTGCAGCCAGTATGTTCAACAGGAACAAAGTCTCATCCTGCTTACATGGGAGGACTTCCCATCATCTCCATGGGAAACTTTCAGTCTCAGAATATTCATTACACTGGTCAGCTTGTGTTTCATCATTCTTCTGCAGTTAGTGTTGGAGAAACAGTCAATCCTCCCCTTCCTCCTGGTCCACCATCTCAGCCCCCTCCACCACCTCTTTCTTCTTCTTCTGATATTCCTACAGGAACCTTTGCTTTTGCTGTGGGTTCTGCACAGTCGTCTGCTGTGGTTCCTCAAGTTAACCTGGCAACTATTCCACTGGCAACAGGTGGTGTTCAACCAATAATTCCCATGATGGTGGACTTCTCTGTCCCCCCACCAAATTTTAACATGCCCCCACCCACTTCTTCAGCCTATGTACTGCCATCACAAGCACTCCCAGATTTCAGTGTTCCCACACTTAACAGGGAATCAAGCAGCACTGCCAGTAACCTTCAGCTTAACTCTTCAGTGAATGGTACCATTACTAATGGTTTGACTCAGTCAGCCATTCGTGATCAAGTTCCCCTTGGACTTCAGCCAAATATTCCACCCTCTCAGATATTTCCAGTGAACAGCCAGCTGGCTCAGCCTCGACCTTCTTCCCAGAATGCTCCACTTCTACTCACAGAACAAGTATCTAGAAAGAAGACCCCATTAACAGAAATGTTGCTTCCCATCAGTGGCTACAACCATACACATGTGTACTCGACAGTTTCTCACCCAGCATTGTCTCTGCTGATGAGTAATGAGCCCCAGAAGGACACAAGGTCTGTGCCTACAGCTAACATGGATATGGTGAGTTCAGCACAGGATTACAGATCCTTGTCCAGTCATAAGCTCGGTCATCGCTCCATTGTTCGAAGAAGTGGTTCTAATTGCATTCAGCAACATCAAGGTATTCACCAACTTACAACTTCTAGTGTAGTTAAGACCTCATAATTGTTTTGTCTGTGAACTTTATTTAATGTTTATTTCTGTTTTTCAACTAAATTGCCTACCTGTAGTAATTTTGCAGTGAAACCTAAAGTCAGATTTTCAGTTACATAAAAACTAAGATTGAAAAACTGAACCAGTTGACAAAGTTTCTAGATAGGGTGATCAGACGTCTCGTTTTTACACCCCCATTTTTGGTACTTTGTCCTAGTGTCTCGAGAAAAGTTCTCAGAATGCACAAAATGTCTGCTTTATCATAAAGACATCAAACTGTCAGTTGCATCGAATCACAAATGTAATAGGCCTACTTGACTTGCTCATTGTTGTAACACCTACTCTCCTGCCTCCAAACTCTCTCAAACTCCGTCTGTGGAAGGTGAGAAACCCAGGTCTGTGCAGGTCTTTTTAGTTAGTAGTAGACCTATAGCAGTTGGTGAATGTTTCATGGATGGTTAAAGGTCAGGGACTGTAAAGAAAGCGTTTTTTTTTTTAGATAATTTGAAAGCAAGCTTTCCTCTTTTTTTTTTAAAGTCAAGTGATCTAGAGTGAACTATTTGTAAAGTTGTCTTTTCAACAGCATACAATGGCAGGTGGAACATAATGGATCACAATGACCAATTTGAAATTTTGGGCAAGAGTTGTGTTGTCCTGATTTTTTGGTTTGGGAATCTGGTCACCCTATTTTTAGGCAGTTATTTTTTAGTTAATTGATTAATCTTCATTAATCATAAATGAAGTTTTTACAATATATATAAGCATCTCTGCACTGTTTTTTGTTGTTGTTCTTCTTCTTCATCTTTATAATGTACACAGTCAAGTAACACATGAGTTTAGGTGTATTCAAGCCCATATTTATAATGTTAAAAGTGATTTCAGATGTTAATGCTGTACAATTCGAGATTTCATAGTATTCAGATCATTTTCATACATGAAGTGTGATCCAAGTTTATTTTTCTGGTAATAGTAATTATTTTTAATCTCCTAAAAGCTAGCAAAAAAAAGTTGTTTTACATTAATACATTTCTATCCTTGTAATGTAATTCACTGTCTGTTAATATTTTAGGCCTTACCCAGACTGTATCATAAATACCCAATATTAGTGGAAAGCAACCAGCTCGTTCTGGGAAGGTAGCTACCTCAGCCAATCCATACAACTTTTGACCATCGTACAAACTGCCACACTGACTGCTGAATGGATTATTCACCTCCACTGTCACCACAGTTACATGAAGACTTTTGTAATTCCTGTTTAGTTCAAAAAAAGGGCCTTAAATGGCATGATAACTGAAGAAATTGATTTATGAACAGTTTTTTTCTTTTGCATTTTCACTCTGTGAAGTTACACTTTGCTGGTTGTGTTCCTTTCAATAAGTCAATAGTACCTCAAGCCAAGGATACGACTGATTTTGAAAAATGCAAGTTTTGTAAATTATAGCTATAGTTTGAATCCAAGTACATTTTTTTTTTTTTTACAGAGAAACTCATGTTGTATCCAAGTTTTTGTGTCTTAATCTGCAATTAAGTTAATTAGTTTTTTATTTGTTCGTTTTCTCTGAGGTAATACATGTACAGTAGTGTTTTATTATAAAGTAACATTGTTTTTACATTTTTGATCTCTTGATGATTAGGTAAGAAAAATGTCGCTCACTATCATGTATTAATGACCAATTTTATACCCTAGTCTTGGAGATGTGAGATTTTTCAAACAGGCCATAATTCATTGCATTTCATCTCAGACATGCTAGTTTATAGCCCATTTTTTATGATCGACCTTGAAAACTCAGAAACTTTCTTCTCTGCTCACACTTTCATAACCCGTCCCACCCATTTCAACTCTCCCTTGAGTCATTCCATTCAGATAGAGGCATCCGACAGTCACATAAATCAGTTAATCACAACCCATTAATGTTGGAACTAACTCTACAGATAGGCAAGTTCACACCATAAGTCGTTAACTGGTAATAGTTATTAGTTTCTACATTATTACAAGCTTAATTTGTACTATCACTCTTTTTGATACTTTTGTTTTTAATCTAAATTTTTTTACGTACTTTAACAGTACATGTCTGGAATGTTGACATGCGTGTTAGATACTACTGAATGTCGTTATAGACGATTTAGAAAAATAAAGTACATGAGACGGTGGTGTTAACAGTGATTCCACAATTTCTACTGGCAAAATATTCTGAAGTTGTGGAACATGTCTCATAATTTTGAGGATGTACTGTTCACTTTTGAACATTTATAATATTTGTACTTTATAGTCATTTTTACTTCAGTAACATGAACTTGTTCATTTACTATGTGATCATATTCGTACTGATAATGTTGATATTAGATTTTGAGGGAGACATTACGTTCCCATGATTCTAATATGAAGTGTAGTTGAAGAGCGAAGTGCTTAGCAATGTTTTAGTTAGAAAATTACGTGATTTACATTCAAAATGAAGCATTGTTATTTCTCAATATCTATGTTTTGTCTGTATTAACTTTTTTTCATAATGTGTGTGATTTGTGATATAATTTTATGCATAACAATGTAGTGTTGGTGAAATGGAGGGCATTAAGTACAGAAAGTGTTAGCACGATTCGGAAGTAAATCAAAATAATTAACTTAAGGTGACATGAGCAAGGCTTGCTTTCAGTATTGTCATTACCAAAAAAATGAGGATCATTTCAAAGAGTCCTAGTTCTCCACCATTCAGTTGGGAACATGGTAGTTTGACATGGTGATTGATTCAGATGAACTTTTAGTAAAAAAAATGGGGTGGGGGTGGGTGGGTGAAAAACAAAATAAATTTTATTAGCATGAGTTATTAAGAGTAGTTACTGGGAATTAACAGGAAAGGTTTTGACTCTATTCAGTCATTATCCCAGTAGATAATAGTATAGTGTACATGTAACTGTATTTAATGTGTGTCGTCTATAGAACATTATAGAGTAAGAGATAATCCAGCTGTTGAGAAAGGCCAAGTTATTTATGCATCTAGTTTTGTCCCACTTAACACTTGAATTGTTTTAGAAGCTTCAAAACAGTTATGAAATTGAAAAAGATGATACTTGCTGTTTGTTTTTTCATAAATGTGCTGTTTTGTAAGATGTTACTTTTTGAAAATGAATTTCAATTAAAAGAATTAATATCTTGAAAAACAATGACTATTATTATGTGAAGCCAGTCGGTAAAGTTTTATTTTATTTTTTTTATTAGTGCTATAGTCTGATAGATGTTTGTCTTCTCATGAAGAAATATACAGTAAAAGTAGGCTTAAACTCTCTCTGGTACAAAGACAAATCAAACAGTTCTGAAGTGAAGGACTAAACATGACAGCATACAAAGTGATTACTCTTGCAAAGAAAGTATCCACATACTGCCCTGTTCCAGCCGAAATCAGTTTAACACTGCCAATGTTTTTATATAGTGGTGGAGCGTGTGTGCTAGTGATAACGTTTTTTTTAGCTTGGCCTGTCACTGCCATTTTTATTGTTGCAGTAATAAGGATATCCAGTGTTCAATGTTCAATTGCCATGTTTGGTACTAAGATAGTTGTAACATACAATTTTATTATTATTTTTTCTCATAAAACAGCAAGTTTTGGGTGGTTTTTATATAAAATTAAGATTGTATGTTATTTATGTTGAAACCTTGTGTGGGCCAAAGGTTGCAGTTTTTTTTTTCTCCTCACCTTTGTTATAAATTTCAATGTATAATTAAGTCAATTTTTTTATTATATTATGAGATGAAAATATGATTGTGTGTAATTTATTTGTGTATTGAAGAAATAATAAGTTAGGGTTCACATTGATTTTTTTTTCAGCTTGTGTATACCATATATGCACAAGAAGGAATGGCTTTATTTTTTTGTTTTGTGTGGTGTCTCAGGGTATGTTTTTTTTCTATTTCCAGAGATGATAATTAGGATCATTTGAGGATGCAAAGAATAAATAATAATTTTTTTTAATCAAAAGTGGATCTGCATGGGAGTGTATATATATATTAACTTTTTCTTTCAACTCTTTTAATTCATTTGCCTAAAAATTGTCCAATAGATTTTCTGTAATGTACAAAAGATTAGGCCCTTCTAGATTAAGTATGAAGACATGTCTTGTAAAATCTCTTTCCATGGCATGCATTTTTTAAAATCTGTTAATTGTATTATCACTTGTCAAAGTTTATGAACTGTGGTTGTGCTGGGCGTATTTGTTACAAAGCATTCGTTATGTTTATATCTATTCTAAAACTGTGCCTTTCAATATTGAAAGCTTGTATTAAAATCTTCATCTATTAACAAACAAGGTAACAAAATCAAGTCAGTCACTTGTGTCAGCGATACAAGTGAATTACTGAAAGTTTTTTGTTTGTTTTATATAACTTCAATCTCCTTAAAATATATCATTTTCTATATAAACTAATAATCATCTCACGTTTAAGTTAATCAACTCCGAGACCGTGACCCACCACACCAGTCAATGCCTCTTTGGAGAGAAGGGATACACGGTATTTAATTATTTGGTTATTAATTTCCGTCACATATCAATAGCATTATCATCACCTGGTGATCTCAACGATTTATGTTTTTGAATATTTGTTTAAGTACATGAAATTAATTGAATAGATTTTTCTCTAGGGACATCTTGTATTTCAAAAGTATGTGACGTCACTTTTTTTGGTGCCCTCTAGTGAGGATCATTCTTTGTGTATATTGTGTAGGAGTTGCAATAAAGAATTCCATTAATAGATCCTTATATTTTCTTGTGAAATGTACTTATTCCAAGTTTATTCTCCTTGTTTTGTCTTTAAGTAGGAATGAAATGAACACATTAACTACTAAACAACAACAGTTTTAAAAAAAGAGATTTCCACTAGTGAATCAGCAGAAAAGCTTACAGACTATGATGCTAAGATCCAGGGATCGATTCCTCATGGTGGACAGAACACAGATTACTACTCAACTAGCGATATTTTTGAATTTTTAAATATGAGAAATATATAACCAGTTTGAAATAAA